GTCCAGGTAAATGACATCAGTTGCTAATCTCACTGGTTTCACTTCTCACTGAAAAATTTCTGGTTCTGAGTCACTATCCCAAAAGCAGTTAAGGGCTCCAGTACAATCCTGACACCCAGTGACACAAGTATCCTCATACCAGTTTAGGACCACATGTGCCTTCAATTACCTGCTGCTAAAGGACAGCACCTTAGAGGGTAGTCAAGGAGCAGGAGCCAAAATACTGAACACGTTGTCTGCTTTAAAACAGTCATTTAAGTACAAGGAGACTGAGCTGCCAGGAACAGGCAAAGTCCCACTGGAAGCAGGTCATAGTCTTCCTCTGTCTTCTTTCTTCAAGTTAGCAAGATTGAGCAGAACTTGATCCTCCATTAGAAAGTGACATGCAACATCTGAAGAGCAGTAGGACGCAGCCCTCTGAGCAATAATCTTCCATTTATTTAGCAACAGGAGAGCTGTGCAGGAGGGGCAAGGACAAGACAAGGCACCACAGTAAGCACAAGAGCTCCAATTGGTTTTGAGTGCGAGTGAAGCTAGACAAATAATATGGGAACTAAGGAAGACCAGAGGAATAATGATAGGCTGATATTATTCCAAGTTTGCATGGAGTTGTCCTTCCAAAAATAACAAAAAAGAAACCCAAAATTGTTGATTTTTTAGCATAATATTTATTGTATTGTCCATTGTATAAGTGCCAGTGCATATTCAGGTCAGATGTTTATTTTGAATGGATAAGGACAAAATGCCCATGGATACATATGTCAAGGGGAAGAGGGGAGAAAGGTGACTATGTTAAGGAGAAAAAAAAAAAAAAAGTGTATGGTTCTGGCAGATTCAGGCCTACAAAGCCATATATCCTATGAGGACTAGCTGAATAGCTCATCCAAGTACAGTTGTAGGCTGGAGCCCAACACCAAGCTCTTTATGTGAAAAGACAAAGTAGACTCTCATAAAAGCCTATTCAGCAAAGCCAGAAGCAGTGTTATTTTAAACAGTTTATTTACATTGCTTGGATTGGCAAAAACAGATATAAAAACCAGTTAGGTTTAATATATTCAGAAGCATCACTACTTACATTTAGACAAAAGACACTGGTGGTTAAAAAGAAATCAGGAGTTGAAAATTCTTGCTAATGCAGACAGCTTAACTGCTAATGAAATGCAGAAGCATACTTAGATAGTTCCTGAGATAGCATTGCATCACACTAACTGTCCAGACAGAGGTGAGAGAAGTGGACATACAGCTTTGAAGACAGACAGATACATGAGGAAGCTGGGTAAAAGCCTTGGGAGAACTACACCTGAAATTTTACACACCAAAACTGGGCTTTCAGGTTAGTGTCACACCAATAAGCCCATGCATTAAATAATGATTTGTTAACCAAGTACACTTGGAGGAAGGTGGGGGGTTTGGGGGCATTTAACAGTCCTACTAAAAGGGAGTGTAATTATTTTCCACAGACTTCCACTTCAAAGAAATTCTAAGAATTCAGTTCATCTATTTTGGCAGTCAAAGCCAGTCATAGCCTTTAACCTACACGCAGGTAATGTACCACTGGGATACAGTGAGCCTGCAGAAGACTGTAATCACAGAAACTCAATTCTATTTCTTTATAAACAACTACATTTTATAAAATATCTGGAATAAGCAGCTGTACAACAGGTTAACCGTTGCACTTGAAAGGTCAGGTACTTCATAATGAATCTCCATTGAAGAAACGAGCTATTTCAGACTTCGAGTGCTCTGCCAATTGATGGATGAGGCAAGCGTCAGAGTCATCCAACCAGCAGCAAGTTCTGTGAACATCATCTTCAGTTCCCAATCTGACCAACTAGTTTATTGCCTGGAGGGGGCAATTTCCACAGAAGAAAATGCTTCCATTATGTTGGTGAGAAAATGAATTTGTGCAAGGGGATACTGCGTCTTAAATGAAGAGCAAGTTACTTATTCCACTGATTAGCTGATCTGCTTCAATACAAGTGAAACCCCTTGTGATTAACTTAGTGTTATCTAACATTTTGCTAATCATTGCTAAGTGCTAATGACTAAGGTACCATTAATGTCAGTAACAGGTCGTTTGAACAGCCAGCTGCTTGTCAGTCATTACAATCCAGCACTGTATTTTACATCTGCTTCATATCAAGTGGGTTGTTGACCGACTTAGCGTATGACTCCTTTTTTCAAAGACTGAGGGAAGACTGACCAAGGAAGGAGAAGGAACACCCTGTTGGAAGGAAAAAAAGTTTTGATCATTTATTAGCCACTGTCAATAGTGCAGTAGTAATTCTCAGCATCGATAGGTAGTGTGAGGAATAAAACATTGTCAGCTTTTAAGATTAATGATTCAGCACTTCTAGATTTTGAGCAGAAAAGTTTAACAGCACCAAACCAGTAGAACACATTTTAAAAATGCAGAAGCCAACTCTTTCCTTGGTACTAGCTTTGAGAGATTCAGAATGCAAAAATATCTTTTTGAAGAGTAGCTGTTAACCAGGTATTATCATATATATCTTGCATCACACTTTTTGCAATAATCATCTCCCTCCAAATTGGAGACAAGATGCATTATGATAATATCTGAGCAAAAATGAGCTCCCCACAGGTCCTGTCACTTTCTGTATTTTTACCAGCTTTCAGTCCCAAATTAGACCCTGAATTAGGCTTCTTGGCTACCAAAGGCAACAGACATCACAATGACTTGTCAAAGCTTGCTTCAGCAGTACATGGATGGGCACAAACTGGGCAAAAAGCTGACTTTTCTGGTCCTGGCACCACAGGCTACTTCTAGGATGTAAAAATTACAGTGAAAACAACATATCAATACGTAGCACCAAAAGTTAACCTCTTTGGATCAGCAAAGATTTTATATTCTTTTCACACTGGACCTCAAGATACTTTCACAAGCCATCTTCTGTTGCACTTCAGCACAGCCAAGCTTTTCCAGCATATAAACAGGTCAGGGTAGTTCGACAGCTTGCTGCACCTGCATGCTCCAAGATTTTTAAATATGGATATTTTGAGCAGGTAAGGATCTACCACTTCACTATGAAATCTCATGTCTGCTTATAGCATGTCTTCTGTTTGCAGTCATAGGCAATATTTGAAAATTAAATCCTAAAATGCTCTTCTTATAGAAGCTCTTCTTAGATGCAAAAGTATTTTATACAAGATACTTTTTCCATTTGCAGATAGGAGAACAAAACCTTAAAACCACAGGTAAAATAAGGTTTTCCAGACTTCCCTGCAACCAAGTTACTAAAAGTCTTCAGACGGATGTTTGAACAGAAACAAATAATTCAATTATATAGAAATTAAGAAAAAACACAAAAAAGATGTAGTTAAAGGATTTGTTAAAGAATTAACGTTTCACCCAGAATGAGAGAGAGAACTACACCACATGTGAGTGTGGACTCCAACCCCATGCATTAGGACAAGTCAAATTAAAACCCAACACCACTTAAAACACTTGGTGGATTCTATGGTTTTACATAGTTGTTCTGTGCTGTCTTAGTTTAGAGGAATCAATATTTTTTGCTCACTTCTTGCAAGATGCCCATTAACAGTCAGGATTTGACCTATAGACTTTCAGCACCACACAGATTATCATCTCCAGCATCATCACAAGTGGTAATAATAATAGGGATGGGACATGATCTGTCCAAGCCATGACCATTTAAGCTTTCCAAATTGGAAGAAATTTTTTCTTCTACAGCATCTGAAAGACAAGTATTTGGAAAGCCAGGACACAGCAGAGGTTGAGGAGGTTGAGGCCTGGAATTTTGAGAGCTCAAATCAACAGAACTGGAGCGATGAACATGAACAGCACATTTGACAGATCCATTTAGGTTGCACGTAGAAGAGGAACAAGCAACCTACAATTAGGAAGGGGTTCAAGAGTTAGTTCAAACACGAAAAAGCCGAAGCATCCAAGCTTTATTGATATTTTTACTCTCTAGTTTTTCTAAACCAAAAAATCCACACATAAAGCACACAGGCCAGGATTTTATTTAATTAAAACAATACGTCTGAATAACAGCTTTGACTCTCTCAATGGACTCAGTTTTCCTGCAGCTTTCGTTTCCTACCCAAAAACTACACTTGTATCCCAGCTTGAGGGGCTGGAATCCAAACCCCTCTTTTTCCCTTCAACTTTACGATTCAATCAAAAGGATTCTGTGCAAGTTCAGTGGTGTGTGGGATTGGTTAAAGAAAAAAAAAAAGCTACCATGACATGACACAATGTATAATCTGCTGCCAAGTTGCAGCTTACCACCTTAGAGGTCCAAGAACTGTGGGAAGAATCTGAAATACGAAAATACTTTTTACTACTGTAAGTTATTATCATTTTTCAGAAAAAAATATTTTTGTATGGGATAGTGCACAGAGCACATGACTTGTATTTTCATGAGAAAGATACAGTGCTGTATCAAAATGAAGACAGGACATTAGAATTCAAAAACAATTCTTGGAGCAATCATATTTGAAGGAAGAAAATCTATAGAGAGAACTGGAGTATAGCCACACTGGTAGATTTATTTCCTCTGAAGCAAGGGAGTCCACTGTTATACTTCCTCCCTTATTAATCCATATTTTCTCATGCCTACCTCATGTGGGAGAGTAGGGCAATATCTTTATGTTGTACAATATAATAGCCACTCAAACATACTGAATTATCTCTATATTAAGATACTGACATTTCAGGTAGTAGTAGCAAGATACACAAGAAATCCTGTACTTGGCCTTCTGTCCTACAAACTACAGACTTGAAAGCAGATGTTTACTCAGCGTACTGACTTACTCAAACACTAGAACAGAAGTGAAGATGATGAAAAAATTCCTCCAAATCTTGTCCGCTTTACTAGACTGTCCTAGGAAACTGAGTTTGACCTAACGTAGCAGAAAAAAGCTGCAATAGGGAGCCAGGCATAGCAAAGGAGTATGCAGTTTTCTTAAACATGGCTAGAGAAGAGATTTCCCTCACCTTTTTAAAACTCTCAGCCTGCAGCATCTATGTTTCTCTACCCTTCCTTCTCAGTTTGTTTCACAGGATGTCAATCACCTCACTGCTTTCACTGATACTCTCGCTGTACTATTCAGGGTTGTACACCACATTCAGTTGCCCAAATTCAAAAGCATGAAAAAACATACGATAGTTGTGTTTGAAGTTTCTCACTCACAAGAGGATACATATTCCAGTTCTGGCAAAAGAGGCTGTTGTGTTTTTTCCCCTCTCACTTGTAAATGGCACAAAGCAACTCCCAGTTCCTAGTACCTACAGATTTTTCCTGCATTTTCAACAAGTAAAACTCATTGAACAACTCTTGCTCAGAAAATAACACATGAGTTAGGTAAACTTCTCCACCATGGATCTTTAAATTGCTAAGATCAGCATCAGACATGGAAGTAACTTATCTGGAGAAGGTTCCTTCTCTCTCCTTACAGAGCCAGGTCACTTACTGCTAGCGATGAGGTGCCGGTCAGGCGGCTGCCTGCGTAACCCTCGGTAGCCGAGTTGGGGCTTCTTCCTTCTGTCGCACTGTGTGACATCAAAGCCCTTCGAAGGGCTCTCTTGGGTGTTTTTGAGAAAGAAAATGCTCTTGTAACCTGAGGAGTTTGACAAGCAGTTACATTCTGACAAACATCAGCCTCTAACTACTACTACACAGGCTACTGTTCAAATTTTGAACCTCTGCAGGGCGTGTATCAAAAGTTCATAGGACTGTGTCAAAACTCACGAGACACCCACAGGGTGAACCGACTTTCTAAGGTCCTCACCATCCCAGCTCTTCTTCACCCCACTCTGTCCAAATACAAGGACAAGGAGGGAGATGGCAGGGTTGGGATTCAGAGAGAAGTCAAAATAGGGTCTGATCAACTAGACTTCCCCATCTCCCTTGGTTCTAGCCAAATCAGGACCCCTCCTTTAACTTGCTCTCAATTTAGTCTTCATCAGCTTGCAAACTACAGCAGCCTCTACAGTTTTCTCCAAGAAACAGCATCATCATCTTGAACATACCACTCCTGCTGCGAGGCTGCTGAGAGTGGGGACCAGATTCCTCCTTGCTGCGTTATTCTCTGTCAGCCCTTCTCCCACACCACAGACTTCAGCAGAACTAAACCCAGTGCATAGCCAACATGACAGAGCAGCCAGGAGCGTTCTCCTGCCTCCTAGCCAGGTCTTCTTGGCAGAATAGTCCAGTCCATCAGCTGAGAGCAGGTGGGCCACACACCGAGGACAGTGTCCACAGGTAGACACCAACATTCAGCTCCTACTTCCTCACTGTTTCAAAGTCGATTTTACTACCAGGCCACATGTACTCTACACCCATCCTGCTTTTGAAGGTACTTGGAGTTCGATAATTGCATGTGGCTTTAGAACTCCATTCAATATGCTAAACCAGTTACAGCTGAAGGTTGGGGTTTTTTTGTAAAAGATTCAGAATATTAAACTGAGTAAGTTCCTTAACAGACTCAGAAATGACTACATAATACTTATGACCATAGTACTGAAAACTATATACAGACACTCCAAAACTACTCAGTCAAAACCTCAAAGACCCCCCCCACCTTCTTTCTTTAAGGAGCTTATACTTAGAGTTTTAGTTCAGATTAAGTTTTTCCTGTCACTACTCTAAGTCCCACAAAACACCTGAAACAGAAATACTAGCACAATTCCTCAACTAAAATGGGCTTTACTGTAAAGCCTTATCTTCAGAGTATCTTACCTTTTTTGATGTTTTCTTTATTGCCCTGGATGCTCTGCTTAGAGTACTGTCCATATCTTTAGTATTTACTTCAACAGAATCAGGATCAGCAGTATAAATGAGATTTTCCTATGGACAAGAATAGTCTTACTAATGGTCAAAAACATCAGCACTTGTCAAAATATAATTCTCCAGGTCATTTGGTCAGATTTAGAAGAGCATTTAAAAACTCTACAAGCGAAATCTTGATAGCTCCAGCTGTCAAACATTAAGACTAAAGTCCTTCAGCTTAAGTTCAAAAAGATGTTTCAGAACAGCCATAAGTTTTGTAGTAGTGTTTGGGTGGTGGTTTTTTTTTTTTTTCCTCTTAAATTCTGGCATGTGAAAATCAACCTCTGACTAGATACCTACAAAACTTGGGAGGGGGCACACACAGGAGTGGAAAGTTGCTGGGTGGATGTTTTTTGTCATTGTTTGGAGGTTTTATTTTGAGAAAAGACTTTACCTGTAACAAGTTTTGAAAAGAAAAATCATAAGGACACTAGACAGCAAGCTGTAAGGCTATTCCTAGTGTCTAATAGTAGTTAAAGCCTTCACTGCCACCATGTGGCAAAGCCAATGGTGTCTGATTCTCACATGATGCTACAGGGTTCTTGAAAACCAGGGAAAAAGGGAAATGTGCTTAAACTGAAGCTCAGATTGATATCTAAATCAGCAAGAAAAAGGTATCGTATAGTTGGTACCAAGTCATAGCTACAGAAATTATAGCTTATGGGATTCAGCATAGGAAGTTACAAGTTGTCAGCATATGATTCTGAACGTCCTGGGGCAAGAGGGAATGATACATTTATTACACAAAGATTTAATTTCTATTAAAAAACCCAACTTTTTTCCATCCCTTTATGCTATACGTTACAAGAGACTGAAGATAGGTGACAGACAGAGTAAAGTACATTAACGCTTCTGAATCAGTACTTTTCCTACTCAATACCTAAAAGGGAAGGAAAAGCACAAAGCCAAGTTTCTTATGAATAAGTCCCTAAACAACAAGCCAAGGAAAATAAAGATGCTATTTTGATTACTTAACTACCTCTCCTGAAACAAGCATGTCTTTAGAAAATTAGAGACAACCAAGTATTACACAGTAAGTTTATAAAGTAGAACATAGAATATTGATAGCCTAAAGGTGTTTCACCTCCATGTACCGCACATGCTCTCAGCAAATTTGAATGACTGACGTATGCACTCTTACACAATTAAAACGTGAGATGAAAGTCTCTTGCCCTAATTGGAGAGGATCCACTCTTCAAATTAGCAGTTTTCTGGCTGTGGACAGCCTACAAGTTGGACTTCTAAATTTTAAGGAGGTCAGTGCCTCCTTTATTTCCTTGTTTTAAGGTTGAAGGCTTCTATCTGTAGGAGGAAGATGCTTCGTGACTTTTACTTTAGGGTCCCCATGCAGATAATGTATAGAACAAATAATTCAGTCCAACACAGAGTTAAACCAAAACACACGGTTCATAATGCTGGGACTATAAATTGAAACGTAGCTGTGAAAGAAGATGAAGACTACTTTTTTTTATATCTGCAGTCCAGAGTTTAAATTATTCATAACTAATTTGTGATTGGGGAAGGGCATGGTTCTTGATTTTTAAGTACTCATTAGCTTCTGTAGATGCAAACTTCTAGTCTGCTTCCTTTTCCACCTTTTAACCACTCACTTGCAGATGGGCTAGCACAAATGTTTTCTGCTCTACTTCACCTCAAGCATGTCCACTATTAGCAAATTCTTTAGCTTCATGTGCTTCAAGCCAAAGAGAAATATTTTCAGTCAGCAACAAGATTCCAGAGTACTTACTGCATCTGCTTTACAAATGGTGTTAGCCACATGCCGACACAATATCTTCAACCAATCTTCTTTAGGAGGTTCTTCAGTTGTCATCTGGAAGCTGAGTAGCTTGTTGTTGAGTTCTGTAGGTGGCCGCACAACTAAGGCAAAAGCTTTATGGCAATCTAGTTTATAAAAAAAAAAAAAAAAGGCAGAGTTAAGAACAATCATTTTTCATGGAATTCAAGAGTTCACCCTCCATCTGCCAGGAAGCTAGAGTTAGGAACAATGACTAGGTGCAGGGATTTTATCTTTCTTTACATGATAGCCATGGTATCATTTGCAGGAGCACTGAGTTCTGTTCCCATCCTTCACCAAGTGGCTGCAAACAGCTGTCCATGCAGCAGTTCAGTCACCCCATCATTTGCAGACTAGTCAGTTGTTACTGGTTACAGCAGTAAATATCAATTTCATTCTCTAGCTCATAAAGTAATGATATGTCCAACACTTCATCAACAGAGAACAAGGAAAATGCTTACCCTATTTTGCAGAGCAGTGAAAAAGCAACAAAAACATCAGTACTATATATGACATTAAAATAGTCAAGTTACAACAGCTTTACTGTTTGAACTTGACAGTGCTGCTCACTTGATAGCAGAGAATTAATCCACTGCTGATACTCCTTTATAGCAGACACCGCTGAAGCATGCTAAAGACAGTCGACAGAAAGAAAACCCAACCCATTGCCAATTCAAAAAAGCAGCAGTAGAAAAGCAGTCCTATGAGAAGGTGCATATAAGAGGGTATAACTGACTTCTCCCAAGAACTGCATACTAAGATTCTCAGCAAATATGAAACTGTTTACTTACAAATGGCTCCCATCACCCAAGTCCCAAAGTAAGCTTAAGCATCGCACAGTAATTTAAAGATATTTCTTAAGAGAAACCCTACAGTACCTTTTAAAAAAATCACATAGACATCACAATTACTACCCACCCTCTTTGCCATTTCTATTTTTTTTTTATTCTGTTTCTATGTTCAGGTGGTTCAGAAAAAGCAGAATGAGTATGACATGCATACCATCATCTACAGTGAAATATCCTATCTTCCTAGGGCACAGACTTAGAAAGCGGTCTGACTAGACTGTTTCAGAAGTCACCATCAAGGCTGGAATAGTATTGTACCACGAGCTCTGCTGCTGTAGCAATGCGTTCCTTCAGTAGAACCCCTACAGTTTCAGTATGCCAAAGGAGCCACAGAAATTACAATCACCTAAACCTTTCTTCTAAGATTCTAAACAGAATTAAATAAAGATTTAGTTTCACAGCAACAGTGAAGCATACTTAATGCTCTGGACTGAAGTCTGGGGGTTAGTTTTGGAAATGCAGATCTGTGGCTATCAGGTGTATTCCTCTGTTTAATTCACACTGCCATTTGGTTAGCTTATGTTAATGCCATCTAACAGTTATGCCAAATTCAGCATGCTTCAGCAGTTCTTGAAAAGCCAAAAGGTGTCAATGAAAGGAATCCTCAAGCTCCTACAGAGCTTCAAAGAGAAGCTTATACTAAAGTCACCAACATACCAATGCAACACCTTGGCATCCTATCCCACAACAGCAGACTTTCATTCGTTATACATTAAACTAGTTTTCATTAGCTACCACAGCACTTCAGAACATACAGACCTTCTGTCTCCCTGATGTCTAGGACTTTCTTGATCTGGGAGAGAGGCATGAGGACAACATGCTTGAGAGATGCAGGCGGCCTTATGTGCCCATGTGGGCTCTTGAAAGCACCAATAACTTTATGCCGTTTCCTCGCGATCTGCAATTAGATAGAAGACAAAGAGGTTAAAGTTAGAAGGTCTATAGCCACTGTGTTGTTTCTCTTCTAGTCTTTTACTTTCTGGTATACAGGAAGGTACAGAAAGCCTTGCTACAGAAAAATTCTAAAAATAAAAGAACAAAAAAATAAAAAGACTATTTTACTCTATTTACCACATGAATCTCTAAGGAACTCACTTATTTCACTAGTCACTGTTTACAGTTTAAGTGGCCCAGCAATACTTGTTAACTAGCATCAATACACTCACCTCAAAAATAAAATTTTTAAAAAATCCAGAGGGGAAGTAATTTTGCATTACAGAACTCAATTCTAAAGTGACATTACTTTTTACTTCACATTATCACATAGGTATCTTACATGGTTTTTAATTAAGGTATCTTCAGCTGTTTGCATCTTGTACAAGAGAGAAACCAAGAAGCTTTAATAAAAGTGTTTTCATTTTCTTTCCAAGAAGTAATGAGGCTGGGTTAACTTAACTCCAGGAAGAGCTCATTAACTCATCAAAAGAATAACTTTTGTCACTAAGACAGCACTAATTCTGGATTATTTTAGAGTTGGTCTTCTATGAAGACAATGTTCTTTACCTCTGCAGACAGTAACAAGTACTTAAAGTATCCTTTATAACCTCAGCATCTCCACAAAAAAGTCTCAAAACCCCAATAAGATTAGTTTTCCCTTCTTGTTCTTCCTGACATACTGTCAGTCTAAGGTATTTAATACGTGGGGTTTTGTGTTGTTGGTTTTTTTTTGGGGTTGTGGTTTTTTATTTTTATTTTTTTTTTTGTGTAGCCTAAATGCAGGATATCTACCCCACAGACCCACTGTTTAGCCCCATTAAATATAACTAAGCTTTAAAAGGCTCCTGCTGAGCCAAGGACTCCAGCACTTTTTTTTTTCCATTCATTGGTACTACTCAAAGTGCTACTCAGATAAACTTTGATTTCTTTACTTACTTTTAAACTTGTGATCTGGCTGCAGGACACTGAAGACTACACTAACACCTCTCAACCATCCAGAAGTGACTACCTACTTGCATTGGTTTATACAATAGCTAATGGAAAGGCAACATCAGCATGCATCAAGCTATCAGCTTTCCGTGACTGAGAATTTGGCTTCAAAGCTTTTTAATTTTACTTGTTTATATTCCTATTTAGTGTCAAGCCTTTTATAATTCACTTCATCAAATGTACTTATATAGTCATCTTACCTCTAAGCAATCATTGAACA